CCCCCGAGGACAATTAACCCCGAGGACAACTACCTCTCCCCCTTCGAGGACAACTCCCCCCCCCGAGGAAAATAACCCCCGGAGGACAACTAACCCCAATGACAATCACCCCGAGGAATTTATAACACTGTAAGGTATAACGCAAGCTTCTCTCCAAATTGCTATTTACAGAAAATTGCATAAACCTTCATTTTCTTTGTTATTTATGAAGTTCATTTCAGTTTCTTGAAATTATTCAATTCGATATGAGGGGGGGGGGGGGGGTGGAGGTTGCCCAATTCCCCTGTAGTTTTGCTACCGAGTAAAGAACAGAAATTACATTCCTTAGAAATTGAACAATACATTGCGTGCAGATGAGTACGCGTTACAGCCTCTCTCACCATCAATGGCACAACAAAGATATTAGGGTGTAAGATTTCTTTTATGCATCCTCTGTAACTTTTAAAATCAGCTGATCGTGTATTTGTCTTTGTATGTATAATGGGCCCTCATCCATGCCATGATCCATAATTAAGGTTTTCTTCACGTTATCTATTATTTCTGTTGTCATGCTGAAGTATAATATGTTTTCGTGTACGTTAAATAATGTTGAAATAGAAATTGCCTTCAAGTTATATGTACGGTGCCATGTCAAAAGAAAATAAATATCCGCTCTCTGGTAATTCATCTCATAAGATTTTGTAACGCCTGCACAGCGTTTTTCAACCGAGGTGCCGCAAGAGAATGACTTGGAAAACGTTGATTTTGTAAAAAAAATCAAATACCAGAAATGGTTAAAATATGTAATTACATCAGAGAATAAGATGTTGAGGTTACTATTAAAAGTGTCTTCCTTCCTCGCTCGCTGACAATATTTTGACAGCAAGGCAAATAAGGGCAACGAGAGGCCCGAATATCCTCCAATTCGTGTATCAAGATCTTGACTGAATATATGACTTTTTATTTATGTACATTTGTCGGCAAGTTGCCCGCATACAGTTCTTTAAATAGTTTCTAGTGCGTGGATTAAATGTGCCCATACGTGTGTGCATAGCACTTGACGGGAGCCAGAGTCATGCAAAATTAAAAATCTGTAAAGACTTTGGGATTTGGGAGAAACTTTTCATTTCTTAAGAGGGTACCGTGACTAACAAAAAGTTAAAATAACGCTGCTCCAGAGAAATGTATTTCTATGCATTGAAAAGCGCTGGACAATTACCTTAAACTTACACCCTTCGTGGAAATTAGCAACCGCACTGGCATTGCATAAATTATAATAAAAGGGAAATATGTAGTAATGAGGAAGACAACGTGATATAGTATTTGAAAGAATATGGGTTCATGCAGGGGATCTTATGGGCTCGTAGCCATCTCTCTATGTGTCAGATCGTCTTTTGCTATTGAATCCTGATTGTCCATGGCGGTAGTTTTCCTCGGGGGGGGGGGGGGGGGGGGTAATTGTCATTGGGGGAATTGTCCTCGGGGGGGGGGGGGTAATTATATTCGGGGGGTAGTTGTCCTCGGGGGTAATCGTCCTCGGAGGTTATTGCCATCGGGGGTAGTTGTCATCGGGGGTAATTGTCCTCGCGGGGTAATTGTCCTAGGGGGTAATTGTCCTCGGGGGATAGTTGTCCTAGGGGGTAATTGTCCTCGGGGGTAATTGTCCTAGTTGGTAATTGTCTTTGGGGGTAGTTGTCCTGGGGGGGGGGGTAATTCTCCGGGGGGTAATTGTCCTTGGGGGGTAGTTGTCCTCGGGGGGTTATTCTCCGGGGGGTAATATTCCAGGGGGTAATTGTCCTTTGGGGGTAGTTTTCCGGGGGGTGATTGCCCAGGGGGTAATTGTCCTAGAACCCGCTGATGATGTGGCCTTGATCTCAACATCAACCAAAGACTTGGAAGACCAGCTGACAGGTCTCAACGGGGAGAGCAAACGTATTGGCTATGCAAAAATGTATAACTATGCAAAAAGAGAAAACTAAACATATGACTAACAATGACACAGATGAAAACATCGAGATAGAAGGTCGAAAGTTAGAGAGAGTGACAGTTACAAGTATCTGGGACAAACTTTGAAAATGGAGGACACCTCAAAAGAAGATGTTATGATGAGAGTAAAAGCAGGATGGATGAACTTTGGAAGATAAAAAGACATGTTGACCGATAAAAACATATCCATGTCACCAAGAAGAAGAATGTTCAACCAATACATTCTAACAACCATGACATATGGATCAGAAACATGGTCATTGACAAAGGATCTAGAACAGAAGCTTGTGACTACTCAACAAGCTATGGAGAGAAAGATGTAGCATTTATCTCTGCGAGACAAAATCAACCACAAAGTCATACGCCAGAAAACAAAGGTTAAAGACATTAGAGAGTCGAAGTGGAGATGGGCTGGGCATGTAGCAAGACTTCAGGACAAATCGTTTAACAGAATGGCAACCAAGGGTGGGAAAGAGAAGAAGAGGAAGGCAGAAGAGAAGATGGAGAGATGACCTAACATCATACATGGGAACGGCCGCTTGGACTAGGACAGCTAGAGACAGAAGAGAATGAAAATTTCATGAGGAGGGCTTTTTCCAACGTCTGGATGAACTATAGCCTAATAGATAGATAGAAAATGGTGATTAGCCCTGTGGCACGATAAGAGTTAACATACCTTTTTTTTTTTTATTCAGCCTTACCAGTTATCCATTTCAATAATTAAATATATATAATGGCAAAGTAAACTTGATTTTTTTTCCTTCAAATTTAGACATTCAATGTGGGTCTATTTGTTTATTTCGGTCTCAAAACTCGGTCGATCTTCAGTATTATATCTAAAAGTTTCATTGTTTTAGTTCCAAGCCGGTATAAAGGGATCATTCAAAGTCCATACACATCAACTCCCACCCAGGTTTCTTCAATCTCTTTTTTCATTTCCCTTTTCTCTTAATCCTTTGCTTACGGGAACTTGTTGGCCCCCATGCTAGGCCTATGGGACCTATACAATTCAGGAGTCAACGGGTTAACCTTTCTTTACCACCCGTCCCCTGAAGCATAGTAAATAAATATCGATACTGTTCTCGTATGTATGTAGTATGTGAATCTACGTTAAAACTTAAAACCCCAATGTGGTCTATGCCATAATAGTATGATTAAACATTATAGTGATGAAGAACAAAAAAATGCCCTCAACACTATCACGGCAATGCGAATGACACATGACCCTAGAAAGGGCTGGTTTTGAGCCTTGATAAAACATATTAAATAACATATGTTTTGTATGCGAAAAATGCATGAATGATGCCATCATAGGACTAAAAAAGTTTTGTTTATTCAAAGTAGTGCTTGCATTTCCAGAATTTGATTAAACAAATTTGTTTTCATTGGCTGCCTGCCGTAGCAACAACCGGAATTGACAAAAGAAGATCACCTATAGACGAAAGAATTCATGCACGGCTGATTGTCAATGAACGGAGTTTGATTATAGAATATTACTCTGAGTCAGTTATTTTGATGAATCATTAATCCGTAGAAAGAAAACCGTACGACAAATTATGTAGGGCGAAAGCAAAGATCTATATGAGGATGTACTGGAGCTTTCGTCTTCCACTTCTAAGCTCACCCCCCACTCCCTATTTTATTTATTTATTTTTTTATTTTATTTTATTATTATTATTATTTTTTAATTTTTTATTTTTATTTATTTATTTATTTATTTATTTTTATTTTATTTATTTATTTATTTATTTATTTATTTATTTTTTTTGGGGGGGGGGAGGATCCTGAAATGTAAAGAGATCTCACATACAATAGCAATGCGATGACGATAACCAAGTAGTATTACAACTGCCGTTTGCCGGCATGATCTATATCCAGCCTACATACTGATTAGGCCCTTGCACGAGTTCAATACCCACTTTACTGTTATAATCTATACATTGTCACGCTACTGCATACCTTTCATCCCAATATGAATTAACATTTTTGTTTTGATGAAAGAGAACAAATATTCTATCCAGTGTTGATGATTTTAATAAAACATGCTAAAAATAATCGTGTCGTGATACACCCTTTAACGGTTACAATAATGCGCATGCTCCAACATGGGCGCCATTTGTTTGACATTTTTTTTAAAGTACGAGTCAACATCTTGTTTACTCGCCCCCCCCCCCCCCCCAAAAAAAAAAAAAAAAAAAAAAAAAAATGGTGACCATGTCAAAATGATGTGAACGCGCAGCACAGGTAATGACGCAACAATGCATGCTCATCTGAAAAAAATGATGACGCAATGTTTACTCCCAATCTAAATTGACGGCTTTAATCATGAAGGGTGTATTGAGTTTCTATTTTCAGGCTTTTTTATAACAGCCTTAACCAATTTTCAACTGATCATTCGTTATTCAGTTCTGTATGAGGATATTATAATTATGAATTACAAAATAAAATGAGCGAAGAGGCAAAGAAGACGCATTTTAGAATTAAGACAAGATAAGCGACATTTTTTGTGTATCTTATTTTATTTCTTAATACATCAATTACATCAATACGTAAATGAGCACTGCCAAAAATGTAATTATATTGACAAATCATACCATTGTTTTTGTAAATAGGTTAATTATGCTTACAATACTGTATTTCCCAATGCAGTTTAAAGGAAAATAAAATATCTACTAATCTTCCGCTTAATAGGTTTTAAGAAACGAATCTTACATGCATATTTAAAACGTAATTATCTTGTTAATTTTAAAAACTAAACAAGGTTGACTCCAAAAGAAGGCGTATACACATGACACTGGGTATTCTTTTAAACTGGCCACGTGTGTGTATATAACATGCTTAATCACTAATTTATTAATCACTACAATTGATAACCACTCAAATTGACCCTCATTTTGAACGCACAGAGAGATTTTAAGTTGGGTGTTTAAGACTGGTGTTAGTGTTTAATAAATACTAACACCAGCCTTAAATCGGCTGGTGTTAAGGCTTTGACCTCTGAATATCGCCAACTTCCGGTAGCTAGTGTTATCGATATTACCGAACTTTGTGGCTGGTGTTAACATTTTACGTACACATGTCCTATTCACTAACACTAGCCCCTAGGGATTAAGCAAATGTGGATTTTCAGTTCGGTTTTAGTGTTTTACCAGCAAAACAGTCAACGCACGAACGACGCCAATGTATTGTCTGACAATCAAATAAAGAATATGAGAATCAGGTCCTTTACTTTGTGATTCATACATTCTTTTGTGTAAATTTATTTTGTGCTTTTGATGATATCATATTTTTTGAAGTACTATTTTTAAATGATCGTCGTGAAATCAAGTCTGTGTGGCGATGTCACGGTGCCACTGCGGTGTTAAGCTTTCGACATTGATATCGGTATCAGGCTCTTAATTTCATCAACAAATTACTTTGCTGTATGCACTCTTTATGTTGTGGAACTACGACATACTTTTAATGGATTTTGATTCCATATGTTTTTAGAAGAAAGAGATCGAGTAATAAAAAATAAAGATACCGAGTTCCCCCCCCCTTAAAAAAAGGTAAATTAAAATGAAATAAAGTCAAATAATAAAATGAAAGAAGGGGACAGAAAAAAGTAACCCCAACCTGGATACTAAGAAAATAGGTACCAAATTGTAATAAAAGAGGGTTACGAGAACCATTACGAATGTATTGCTAGTATCAAAATGTAGATTTAAAGGTGAACATGTAACTTCGTTTAAGTATCATACTCTTTATTCAATAATCCTAAACGAATTCGAAATAAAATTTCGTTTAGACTCCGAAATTAGAAAACCATTAAACAATCAAGAATGCAAAATATTATAAATTCACAGATTTCGTGGCGACAAACAAAAACCAATCGGATGAATACATCCGTGTGTGACCTCAATCCAACATCATTTAATGAATGGTATTTTCTGCATATCAAAGTGATATTCCATATAACATCAACAAGTTATAATATCTTAAATTTGCAGTTATAACCCAGGTATTCAGATAAATGGTCAAGTGCTGGAAGGAAGCTGAAAATTGAGAAATTAACACCCGAATGAAAATCATATATCCTGAGAAATAAGATATGTTCTCTCATTGCATCTTGAGAATTTGTACTTTTTAAGAATCGTTTACTGCTTTCTGATTAGATGTGTAACCGTTTCATCATTACATAAAGGCAATACGGGAAATACATTTAATATCTTATCTGTGTAAATGTGTAACGCTTTCATACACTCTTGTTAAATATTCAAATTAAACTGATTAATATAAATTATCGGAAGCTTGATCAATGCAACATAGGAATGGAAATGATATTGAAATCCATGCACTATTGGTGTCATGCCAACTTAAAACATAACACCTAGGTTGACAACTGTTGGAAAGGCGCTATACAAGAACCCACTATTATTATTATTATTATTATTAAGAAGAAGAAAAGTTAATTTCGCAATATTTTTACTTTTGACCGCGGCATTATTTACATCTAGTACACATTTCATGACTAGAACAAATAAAAACTAATAGGGTATCGTTAACCAAAAATAAAACTACTTTCTAATAATCATAAACGTAAACGTTACTATGCCATGACAAGAGAGATATACATGATCAAACTTGAGTTTCTAATTTTTTTGAGGGGTTGGTTTATTATCATTACACAAGATTGACAGGCAGGTCAAGGGAGATTGTACGTAGTCACGTATTCAGCTAATCATCAGGGAAAATATGACTTTATGCAAGTGTATGGTAAATAAAATGAATATATTTGTTTCATTCTTCCGTTCGGTTCATTTCGGTTAGTGTTAGTAGCATGAAATAAAAAGTAAGAAACTTCACTTTTGCAATGTAAATTGCGAAGATATTTGATATTACTTTTCACATTCATGACCCTTACGCAATAGAGACCAAGGGGTAATTGAGTATTTGTTTCAAACAAGAGCATGCTCTAAAACTAAAATTTAATAAGTAGTAAATCATACAAATTTGCACTTAAAAGTTCTGTTCATTGTTGGTTCATTTAGTATGAAGAGAAGAGTCAGGTGACGTTAAATTGGTTTCTCGTAGGTCTCATAGCTATGGTGAATCTCGTCTGGTTTCAAGTATGGTGCAGTGTACAGTGACTTATCACCTACAAGGTAATCCGCGTACCCTACAGGAACCTCGGGGAGTGGTCCTCGGTCAGTTCTCTCATCTTGTAAGGAATGTTTCGATGGTCCAAAGCTCCGTCTGTCATTAAATAGCAGATTTATGAAAGTAATGTCAGTAACAAAATACTGAAAGTAACACAAAGTAGGGCCTGTTTACATATATAATATACCGCAAAGGAACACTATAACAATGACAAAAATATAAAATCCATCAATATATTTGTAACTCGTTTTTTTCTCAAAGAATAAGTAACATTTCGTTTGGGGTTAGGGGTGCTAAAACGGTTAATTGGCTGAAAGTAAAATTCAAACATGAGAATAATCGTAGTAAATGGCAAATCTTCTGATGAAGTGAAGCTTCCAATTTTTGTTTATGTGTTTCAACATAATATAAAGTTACTAATATTGGCATTCCCTTGCATACAGCCACCCACTACGCCCATAATTTAATTAATTGTTGTCATTTTCTCTTTATACAAATTATACCCAAAAGTAATCTGGCCTATTCTTACCCTTTTCTTGTTCAACATTTTAACGCCCCCCCCCTTAAAAAAACGCAAATAAATGATAGCAGCGTAAACTGACAAACTATAGGAACAAGCGCGCGGATAATTGACGGGTTGTGATTGGCTGTCTAATGTCCGCGGGCTGTATCAATGCGTAAGCTTCAGTAATGCAATAGTCCTTCCGAACTTTGTTCATCCTTGCAATTTACTCCGACTGAGGGAAAGACGAAAATCTTAATTATGTATGTTTCCGTTGCTATTTTCGATTTTGCAGTAATAGTAATAATAATATTTACATTTATAGGGCGCTTAATACGGGCGTTTAAAAGCGCACAGGCGGTATTGTCCAATTCATTATAATTAATTAACAAGTTCAATGGCTTAAAAGCAAAACAAAAATATATATATAAATAAGCGGTACAAATAATTTCTTTATAAAAAAAAAAATATGTAAAAAAAAAAGGGGGAAGAAAAAAATGTCCAGCGAACTAAGGACCTTATTACCCTTTAACGGAGATCGAGAAGGCTACCATGGACATCAGGACTAGAATGAACATTATCACTGCTGCTACTAGAAGGCCTGTGATGAAGACATTTCGTCCATTTTGCTTCTCCTGGGGTTCTTTATTTCCAAATCTCCCTGTAAAGAGATTATGAAGAAGTTTCCATTATAAATGTTCAGAAACAAATCTTTTAGTCATATATGGGATATAATAAAATTTTGCTAACACGCTCTTCCTCGTATAAAGCTGAACATAATTTCACATAATTATACATTATCTTTTTTTTCAAAATTTGAGCTAAAACAAGAATCCGATCGCACTATTTTGTTTAAAAGAGAAGGGTGATTTTGACACGACTTTTGATGTTGAAACATGTATGGAATAAATGCAAATGAAGTGAATTGTTGTCGAAGTAAAAACAGATCCACAATGTTGTGAAACCTGGATTATATTGAACAAAAAATAGTGTTGTTCCCCATTCCAATATTATATACATCTGAGTAAACTTAAGGAATAACTTTTTTAAGGAAAATATACTTGTAGCGGAAATGGCCAAGGGTTTTAATTTGGTCTTGCACATTTCCATTGCCTTTAACTGCAGCTGCTCAATTACCGTTGTGAAATATTTGTCTTGGTCCAACTTTTCAAATTTCTATATTGTTATCCTTGGACTGATGAATGATTATAGTTGGGGGAAAATAAAGAAGATTTACACCTGTTGCTGTTATGACAGGACGGGAAAATGACAAGGAGGCACAATAAACAGTAGGGACCAGTTGCACATTAGTTTAACGAATATCATCCGCTGTTAACAACCATAACTAATCAAACAAAAATATCAACAAAACGAAGGCAAATTACTTGTAAACAATACTGTACACGTGTTTGCATTACATTGACACAAAAGGATAGGTATTGCTATCATAAAGAAAACAAAACACGATAGGAGCATTTCGTAGAAATGAAAAAAAAAAAATAAAGGCAGTATCCAAACAAAAAAGGTAATTTTGTTAAGTAGCAGTGAGTACATACCTGCTGCAGCACCGCCATTAGGTGGTTGTGAATCTGGGCACGAAGCGACCGCACCGCGCCACAGACCATCCTTTTCGCATATCCAAACGAACGAAACCAACGCACTGTTACATGTGATGTTGATATTGTCACCAATCTTGTATCGAGCCCTTATCGTTTTAACCGATGAATCAGCTGGTAGGATTGGTTGGTTGCATTCTACGAAACAATGAATAAATGAATAAATAATGTGGATCATAACACAATCGTGACAAAATGGAATATGGGGAAATCCAAACCAAACAAGAAACACATGAAAAAAACTATTTAAAATTTAGAATGACTCATGTGATAACTTCCTTAAAGTTGTATACTGTTAAAGTGTTTCAAATGCTCAGCTTTCGAATTGTAGAGTTGAAGATAAAGTGTAGTTCTGGTCATACGATTGCATTGCGAAAGAAATGGTGAGGAATCGATCGGAAAATTTGATCATTTATTATATTAGTATTGGTTATATCCTGCAAGATTCTAAAATGATCTAAATTATAGAAAAATTGGCCCAGTCTTGGTATATGTAACAAGCTCTATACACAGATAGATTTATATGGGAATACACAAACGTTTGGCATAACAAATATGGTCCTTATCTGTTGAAGCTGTTACATGTCATATTAAGAATATGAACGCATTTAAAGAGCCATGCTTTTCAGGGGACATTTTAACTACGATGTTCTTCCACACTTGGATACTAACAATGAAAACGCTCATAAATTCTTCTTCACCTCTCCCGAAAACTCATCCTTCTATTTAAGGTACTTATTCTATATAGTTCTACCCAATAAACAAAATCACGTGAAAATCACATCAATATCAAGGTATCGACTTGAGGAGAGTTACGTTCTTCAAACACCGGACATTTACGTAAATGTGTTAATACGTTTTTTGCATTAGGTAACTTAAAACACACGTACACTAAATCACGCAATTGTCACTGCAATATCACCATTATAATAACGTGATTATCCCTACCTTGGATACCATGGTTTGTAAACCTAATACTCCCGTGTTTGTTTGGTTATGAAATTACATCTTCATACACGAAATTATCGCGTCACAGAAACACGTGAAGCGTTAGTGATAGTTTTAGTCAAAATATCTGCGTGAAATTCACGTGAATATTACGAGGCGGACTAAAGATGAATCATGTTCTTCATTCACGTAAAATTTACGTCGAAGAGGAAGTATGTTACTGTAACCCGCGTTAAACCCAATAATTACGCAAATGTTACTCAATAAATGAACCAAAATAATGACGTTCTCATCCCGTTTCTGAACATCGTGTCTTGGATCTTCCATTATTACGTCCAGGCGCGCCGGAAGCAGTTTGGGATTAGAGGGGGTTGGGTGGGGGGGGGGGGGGGGGGGGGTGCAAACATCCAGAAGAGAAAGCTAGTTGCAACTGGTCCAGTTGATGAACTATTTAATGCCAACTGGTAACCCTGGAAATTGAAATGGGCTAAATGATCCAGTTGATCCAGGTCAGTTATAATTCAACTGGTCTAGCTGAGCCATTAGAACCATTTTGGTAAAACTTCCAACCAGTTGAACAGCAACAATACTTCAATACTGGTACGTCTGTATTTCCAATGTAAGGGCATTGGTAATAAGTAGACTTACATAATTGAAGTAAACGAAAAAAAATTGTATACTTGTACTTTATTGAAATTATTTTAGTTCACAGTTAATGTTTCCCTTATTCATGTTTAACTATTTATACGAAGTAGCGAAATGTCCTAATAACTGGTAATTTATATTTGTAGTATTTTCGAAATAAATTGCATATAACTAAATCATCAGTAATTAAGAAACATGCTGTTAATTCAGATAAATTGTTTAAAAAAAAATAGATCTGCACGCACCCCATATTCAATATGCAAATGAATTGGTGTCAGCTGGGTCAACTCGAAATATGCCAACGCTCAGTCATCAACTAGTGCAACTGGAAATATGCACACTCCAGTTATCAACTGGTGCAATGAAAATATGCCAACAGTCAGTTATCAACTGGTGAACATAGAAATATGCCAACAGTCACGGGATTATCACCACGAAACTTAGATGGTAACTGTGAAACCATCAAGACACCCAAGAATAACTCATTTTCACACATGGAAAACACGGAATACCCAGCTTATATTAATAATCCGTTTGAGTCACGCGATCATCACCGCGGAACTGCTGGCAACTTTGACTACGATTTAAATAGGTGTTTTAAGACACCTAATCATGACTAATTTTTCACACCTAAAAGTCACGTATGCCCAGCTTAGATTAATAATCCGTTTGAGTCACGAGATCATCACCGCGGAACTTATGGCAACTTTGACTTCCATTTAAATAGGTGTTTTAATACACCTAATAATGACTAATTTTTCACACCCAAATATCACGGATTCACAGCTTAGATTAGTAGTCAGTTTTAACTACGTGATCATCACCAAGAAAGTTATGGTAACTTTGAAACCATTTAAATAGGTGTTTTAAGACACCTAATAATGACTAATTTTTCACACCTAAAAGTCACGTATGACAAGCTTAGATCAATAATCCGTTAGAGTCACGAGATCATCACCGCGGAACTTATGGCAACTTTGACTACCATTTAAAAAGGTGTTTTAAAACACTTAATAATTACTAATTTTCACACCTACATATCACGTTTTCACAGCTTAGATTAGTAATCAGCTTGAGCCACGTGATCATAACCAAGAAATGTATGGTAACTTTGAAACCTTTTAAAGAGGTGTGTAAGACACCTCAGAATTACTAGTTGAATATAACCAGAGATTCACGGACAGAACAATAAGACGATTAGCCGGTGTAAGTAACGTGATTATTACCATCAACCTTGGATAACCTGTGAAACCAATCAATAAAGGTGTTTACAAGACCAAATAATTACGTATTTATCGCCACCATCGGTTAACTGACAAAAAACCCGTTGCTTGGTCAAGTGGTTATTTGGTCATAAACACTTGATTTACAGAGGTAAGTGGAATCACGCTACTCCAGTCGCGTGATAAACTGGTGGTTTTTAGGTTAGATGAAAACGTGAACAGGAGTACCTTTTTTGTTTAAATGAAGGCACGTGTCGATAACGTTTAAATCTAGTTCAAAAGGCACTATACTTTAAAATCACTTAAAATACACTCCCAAAAGAGGTTACTTTTTGGTGTTCTGTTTATTGGGTATTTACTCTTGTTTCTAATGTTCTAATGAAGTGTCGGATCACATCCTTTTTTCATTTAATTAGCCAAAAGTTTCGAAAACGACCATAATGCCCTTTAAAATATTTTGCTATGATAATTCGGACGAGGATAACTCGTTGAGCAAATGGGACGTTCTATTAAAATGATTAAGAAATTATTTCTGGCAGACTGTTTTCAAGTATTATATATTAAAATTGTTATCATTGAAATAAGTCTTTTAACTAAAGGGTAACAAGCCCAATATATTATCTCTGTCCTGAGAGTTCTATGTGTGTTGCCACAATTTAAATAGTGGAATATCGGTTTAAAGAACTAAACTGTTTGTTCTTTAATAGCTAACCAGTTAGGCGAGGCGTCAAAAATAAATATACCAGCCAGCGGCAGCTAACTGCACTTGTGCGTCTTGGCTGCATTTTTTATATTAGCTCAGCCGGCTACCGCTGGCGGTAGGAAATGGCATTTAAAAGCATGCGCCGGCTGCCGCCTTTCGAATGGAAACCGAGCCTCAGATCCCAGCCTGGCGCAAGCCGGCTGGGCTAATAAGTGAAAAATAATTGCCCCAGCCAGGCTTCGGCCGTAATTGCAGCCTCGATATTTTTGACGCCTCGCCTTAAATGACAGTTCTCATCTGGTTATATATGAAGAGTGCAATGTTCTCTCCGATATGCATTTTAAAATTCTGTGTGCGCGTGTGTGTGTGTGCGTGTGTGCGTACGTGTGTGCCTATGTGTGTGAAATCACATCGCGGCCCGTTATTACCTTTCACGGGGTCAGGGCAGACTATATTTTGTCCGTTCCAAATTCCGTTGAGACATGACAATTCGAACCATTCAGGAACCCCGTTAGTCACTTCGTTACATGTCACATTTATCATGTCACGATGTTTGTAGGAAAGACGAAGATTCTGAATGTGTGAGTCAAGAGGCACCGCCGGGGCACTGCATTGGGCTTTGCCAGTAGCAACTGCATGGATGATATAAATATATGACCATAGGATATCACCATCAGTACATTTGTCATCCACTTGAATCATGGAGGGGTAGAAATTAAAATGTGCTTGAAAAGGTGAATTATTACTACCGACTGTTTGCGTTATGCAAAATGTGAGATACAATATTCCAGAAGAAAACCGAAATTACCAGGGTTCCCATTATTTTGTTTTGGTATTCAAACTATGTTTGTATTTTGGAAACACGTCGATTCAACTCAATTTGTTTCAATCCAATCAAATTCAGTCAAAGACTAAACTGAATATCTTTTACAGTGCAAATTAAATACAATGTTAATACTGATTGTAAGATTAGTAACACAGTAAAATATGATGTGGGAGAAAAGTACACGAAATTACATAAAGACAATCTCGACGAAAGTTAATATGGATTATTGAAGTACAAACGAATTTATAATTTCCATTGTACGGTGGAATATGAAAATATATGAAAAGGTAAAAAGTGATCATAATAATGATCATTATTATAGTATAATTATATTAAATAACCCACATGCAGTCTCGATTTTATACTCAGAAGTGCGACAACATTTTATTTCACTATTAAAGCAATTTAATAATGGTTTTGCGTTAACAGATCATCTTTTAGATGTTATTGTTTATCGTAAAATGGCTATATGCAGCCTGTGACGAAGATATGTTGTCGATTGCCAGTTGTGCAAGTTAGACAACGATCAGATTGCGATACTCCGCCAACTCCTTTCATAATTAATATTAAACATCCACAATTAAATACCTGCAGCGGGGGGTTCGGGCAGGGCGGGCGGTGGACAGGATACAACGGGTCCGCTCCATAATCCTTTGTTGTGACACTGAAGGGTGAAGGTAGAACCACTGGCATCACACGTCACATTCACTTTGTCTGTGAAGTTGTAATTCAGACGGAGATCTTGCACCGTGGAATGGGGAGGAACATAAGGAGCACTACAAGGTATGGAACCTGGAAGTAGTCAAAGAGAAAAACAAAACAAGATGTGATATTTAGTGAATAGCAAGATCTTTCCATTGTTATCTTCGTTAGGAAACATTTCGACTGAGGGGTAAAGGTTGGGGAGGGGGGGGGGGGGTGGGAGGTTACCGTTATTAAGGTAGACTTGGGTTCTAAACAGGTGCCAAAATAACCCAAGAGGCTGAAGGGATTTTAAATCTTGCATTAGAGAAGCACGATAATTCAAACATGGGTCCAAAAAGATCAACCAGAGAAGGATATAAGGTCTATTGATTTAAGTGTTTATACAATGTATTTTGTCCCGATTAATGATTTGTGTAAAATTAAGATTTTTTGGTTCAAACACGGGGACCTAATCGGTCATTAATAATGAACAATGCATTCAGCCGTCGACATAATGACGCTCCGCCGACTATTGTTGCGGGCTTTATTTCGTCAAAGATAAGGTGTAAAGTTAGACTCAGCGTAATATAAGGGTTATTATATGATTTAAGGTTAGGATGTCTGATAAGGAGGTTAGCGTTAAGTACAGTGTTTGGTTTAGGGTAAGAGTTGCAATATGGTTTAAGGAAGGGACGTCTAGGATTGGGGCTAGATTTACTGTCAAGTACAGTTTTGGTCTAGGTTAATAGTTGTAATAGGGTTAAGGTTAGAACGTCTAGGATGGAGGATTGTGTCAGGGTAAGATACATATGCATTAAAATTAGTGAGACATGTCGAATGAAATGAGATAAAATATGACGATGAAATATATAACAATAATGTAAGAATGTGAGAGGAAGAGCGAGGAGAAACGAAATGGGGAGAAAAGAGAAAAAAATGGGGACATGAAAAGATAAGAAAAGACGTGTGTATGAGGAGAGAGATTGGAATAGATAGATAACAGAGCGATAGAGAAAGAGAAAAAGAGGGATAGAGTTAGAGAGAGAGAGAGAAGGACAAAGAGAGAAATAAATGGTTGGAAACATTGAAAAGGGGAAATGTGTAAGCTTTAGTGTAATCTTTAAATACACACACACGTTAATCAATACGTATATAATTTCTTGAATGTGTGAATAGATTTGCAGAGATGTGTCATAAAGATAAAACGAAAAAAAAGCATCCTAATGAATTATTAATACAAAAAAAGTATGAACTTTGATTTCTTAATTCAAACAATCTAATTATTTCTTTTTATTGAATGTTATTGTATTATTATAGTACTACACAAGTAGCAAGAACAAGCTGAGCAGTAGCAGGCATAAGGTTTGATGTTAGGACGTCTAAGATGGAGGTTAGGCTTAGGTTTAGGGACGGGTACATCGTTTGGTCTAGGGTAAGGGTTGCAATCAGGTTTGATGTCAGGACGTCTCAGATGGACGTTAGGGTTAGGGTTAGGTACAATCTTTGGTCTAGGGTAAGTGTTGCAATAAGGGTTATTGCGAGGACGTCTGAGATGGAGGTTAGGGTTAGGGTTAAGTACAGTGTTTGCACATCTTTCAAATTCATTCATTTATAATGCGCACATTTCAACCCCAAAAGATGCTCAAGACGCTTAACAAGGTAAATACAAGAAACATGAAAAACAAGTTCAATTGATGTAATGCATGCAGCCATTGAACAATTTCAATTTAGAAATTCCATACAGTATATACTTAACGTTTTTAATTACGCTCCTCATTTTTTTTCTACTAATTAATATAAGTGATAAGAGATCCCCTAAATAATCTGCATTTAAAAAAAAAATTAAGGTATTATATTGCAATATCTAGATATGCCCCATGAAATAAATATTACTAAGATAGTCGATTAAACAACCATAAACAAATACAATAAAAACAATTAAAACAAACTTAATACATTATCATCGTAAACTGACATGCCGAGGAGAGGCTTTTTTTTGTAATTTAAGAATTTAGTTCGTCTTTTTTCCTTTTTTCTTTATTTTATGTATCTATTTCATTAAAAAAAAAAATCGGGGGGGGGGGGGGTGGCGTTCCTATAATATTATATACTTCGGAGTCGAAAATGCAAAACCGATCCAACTGATAAGTTAAAAACAGCCACTGGCAAACTTCAAAATATAGCATATAAGTTTTCTACCCATTAATTTAAATAATACAAATAACATAATGCAATTGAGCAAAATGCATCGTAGACTTCTCTAAACAATAGAGGCTCGGAAAAAAAAAATCTACTTACAATGCACTTCAAATTTACTCCATCACTGACTTAAGCTATAATAAATTCATTATTTTGATAAAACAAAAATCTATAACGGTTTTCTTATAGTACCTTGTCTTTATTTGTTTTGTAAGCTGCCAACGCGAGCCTTACTTCGTCTGTTTTCACCTCGGTAGAATGACTAACACTACATATCTCTATGATAACTATATTATACAAGTAATGAGGACAGTAGTTAAAGGTGGTTTTTCAAATCGAATTTAGTTTCTATGTGTAAAGTGCTTTTTTCAGTTAATGTGATTATTGTAACGGTTGACGAATAATAAAACGCCTCACTTAGTTTGTGGCATGCGATAAATGCTTGGAGTTTGCTTTACACTGTTTGAAACGTGCACATTCGTAGAATTCAATCTGTAGCGCAGATGTTCAGTTCAGTCATTAGGTATTCGCTGTTGTATGCAAATTTATTTCAAGACCCCACTCCCTCTGTTTTCCTTTAGTGGAATATTAAAACGAGATGTAAACAATAGCAGTAACTGTCTCCCGCATTATTTGACAGAGTGGATCAAAACAGCAACGGAAAGCCTGACAGAATGGTTTCTCAATGTCAACCCCTCCAAGAATGAGCAGCGCGTAGGCCCACACCTGCGATATTACAAGTAAGCCGAGAAGGAGAAGTTTGAGAGATGACGAAGAATCTTCCCTCTTTGTTTTTCTATCATCCGTTTCAAGCAGCTAGCTAATGGAGACGTTCACGAAATGAAGAGAAGGGGACTGCGGCGTCATAAGTCAAGAAAATTAGTTATCGCCTTTTATCAATGATTTAAATCTACAAAAGGCATGATGCAAAGTACCGCAATCGAAAGGATTCGTGAAGAATATATATTTTTTAAATCTTGCGTGATGTACGTATTACTATTATGATAAGAAAATGATTAACAAAACAGATATTAAAGTGGAATACACTTGCTACGTCTAGCTCACCCCCTTTCAATTCCCTTGAAAAACCTAACGTTAGGAATAAACAGAAATAAAACAAAACATAAAATTACAACAAGTACGCTTACGAGAAATTATTTTGCAAAATAGCAAATGAAGAAATATACAAATGAAGCACAATTTTGAAACTCATCTCTTGTTCACTGCACAGTAAAATTGTTAGAATGCCGGCCTACTTATTTCTATAACAAATCTTTTTGTAAAGATTAAATGATAATATCATACCATAATAACATCAGCCTTATGACGTCTGATCAATATTGTGCTATAAATTTCGGTGACAGGACAATATTACCGTTAACGTTTTTACTTATCTTTATTGTGCTAGAACATAGCTCAGCCATTCCCCAAAATACTCATTCTCGGATGCCCAGATATATATTTGGAGGCAAGTATTATAATATACTTTTCCCTTTTTTTATCAGTCAAACGCCTCACCTGGTTTGTGGCATCTGATAATTGCTTGATTATTATTTGTCAGTGTATCAAACGAGCAGATTAGGAGTTGTGAACATCAGTAAGTGCACTTAGGCACCAGCCATACTGCGCGCGCTGATATATTTATGATTATTATATTCAGTTGTCCCTCTTCATAAACGTCAAATGTTGTTTAATGTTGGTTGTGTTGCATCAGAAAAGAAACAGTTGAGCCCAACTACCACAATGTATGCTTTACCTGCACTAAACTCCATATTAATCATATTTTCCCCTCTCAATTAAGTGTGTGTGGGGGGGGGGGGAGGGGTAGTTGTTATGTTAAAAATGAGGAGGCAGGTAATACATGCGTACACGTGCGCGCGCAAGTGTGTGTGTGCGTGTGTGTGAAAATGAAACATCACCCACATTTTCGGGTAAGGGGGTAATCACTAAAAACAAAGTGTTATTTGAAGTTATCATAAGTCTAATTTCACCCCCCCCCCCCTCCACAAACATGGAAACAAAAATAGAAAAATTAAACTAAAATAAAAAGATGAGAGATTTTACAGGGGAAAATAATTATTTGTGGTAGGGCTTTGAGAGTATTATGTGAATATCCATGTAGGACAAAATAATTCAAAGACTAAATAAATATGAATTATGGGAAGATGGATATTTTCTTATTTTATTTTGCTCAATTCTACCTTTGCCAAGCATTTGGCAACTTTGAATGCCACAATTCTGCACCTATAAAACCTTTATCCATAGCATAACAGAGCCTTCAAATTTTCAGTAAAGCGGCTCACCTGATTTTTAGCATCTAACGAATGCTTGGATTGTGTTTATTTTCAGAAAACCTGCAACTCTGGTGGTTGATAATTCCGTCAGCGCAGCAGTACACATGTGTCATGGTGTACGTGCTGTTGTGTCTAGTAAGCAAAAACTTTATATTTGAGGGGCACCGTTAAAAATATTGCCCAATGGGATCTCTAAACTTACTATGCAACGAGACGAAGAAGAGAAGGCGGACATCATCGAGGAGTTACATTTTCAAATGGACCCGACATGAAGAAACACTCAATATGCAATATGCTTGTCGAAAAACATTTGTAGAGTTTCGGGAAATTTTCTCGACTAAAAGGTTTGCGCATGTTTCCCTGCGCATATCCACTGTAGTTTGCAAGCGAGGTCTTTGCGTCTTTGCATTTTCCGCGCAAGTAGACTTATGTCTGGTGAACATTTTTCGTTTTTTACCAAGCTGTCATTGGCTAATGTCATGCCTCCTGTCTTGATTGATCAGACGCATACAAATTGGATTTGTTGTTTATTGAATGTATCTTAACAGTCTTTATTGTAGTCATAGCGATAGGAAGATATGACCTTATCGAACGCCACAACACATAACGCAGGTG